GCCTTTCTTTTACTTTTAGAAGAGGGTGTGTGAAAACTCTAGAAAAGAGCTAGTTTCCGGACTGAGAAGAAAGGAACAGGCCATGTGCAGCTGTGGCTCTGAGTGGAGTCCCTGGGCCCACACCGTCTTCAAGAGCCTGTGGTGGCCAAAGCCTGTTCCTGCTCCACGAAGGTCTCGGAACCCCTCTGGCGGGGGAGGGAGGGGTGTGGCAGGTAAACAAAGCCCAGGCCCCCCACTGCCCAGCTACCTCCTGAGTCTCCCCAGCCCGGAGCTCCACCCAGACCCCCACCCAGGGGCCCCCAGTTACCTCACGGCAGGGCCAGAAACTGCAGGCTGTTTGCTTAGTGTCCCCAACAGCTGTGCTAGAGGCACCAGAAAAGCCCAGCGGCCGTTTCACTTCCTGCGGGGCAGGTTTCACTTCTCTGCAGCCCGTGTTGCACAGACCTCTCGGGGCGGCAGGAAGAGGGGCTCTGCGGCGCCGAGGCTGCGGACAGCCGGGTGTGGGGTTTACACGCGCGCTTGGGTGTGTGCGCGTGAGCTAATGAGCGGAGGTCGTGTGTTTGTGTGTGTCTGAGTTCATGCGCGTGCGGGTGTACGCGTGTTTAGGGGAGGAGGTGTGTGTCTGTGTGCACTGTGTCTCTGAAGGTCCAGAACAAAGTTTTGGACAACAAGCGCCACACAGAGGCACTCCAAATCTGTTCATGACTTTTGGCAAGTGTCTCCTGCCGTAAAATGTGATTGTGCATTAAGGGGTGACCCATCAGACAGAGGGCGATAAAATGTGAAAATCCAGGCAGTGGGCAGCACGGAAGAGGCGATGGGAGGCGTGAGAAGAGGGTTGGGTGTGGGCGACCGGCAGGAACGACAGTTGGGGGCGGGGAGTGGACAAAGCCGATGCCCAGCTGGGTAGGAATCGGACCTCGCTCTACAGCCGGCCTTCCCACTCCAGCTGTGTGGCCTTGGCCGGGCCCTTGGAACTCTGTGTACTTCAGCTTCCTGATCTGAAAATGGGATAATGAAAGTACCCACCGCACGGGGTGCCTCGTGAGAGTTAAATGGAGAGCGCGCGCACAGTGCCTGACGCCTGGTAAGTTCTTAATGAGCGTCGGCCATTGCTGGCCTTGGCGGTAACTACTCTGATGCATCCTCCGGGCCAATCAGATGCAGGAATCGGAGGCTGCACCCGGGACCGGCAGGATGCTCGCAGGGTCCACATACCAGATGTGCGGCCCCTCCTTCCCAGTCCC